TCTTCCAGTGTTCATTGAGTCCTTCGGCTGCCGGTTGAACTGACAGGCGATCGGAGAGCTGAATATGGATCAGTGTGCCGTCGGACTCAAAATGTTTGTACATAAAAGGCTTCAGCCATATTCTCCACCTGGCACGTTGCATGAAACTGTACATTTTATGTCACGTAACGACCAGTGTACACTTTTAACTGAAATGTATGCTCATACGCTTACACAAGTTAAAGAAATACGACCTTCTATAAACAAGTCCACTGGTCACGGGTGTACCATGTGCACTTCGGGCCAGAGTCTAACCGCCCCTAGTGCTCTTTCAACCACAACCCACCTCAATAAACACCGCATGCTCAGGAATCCCAATCGGAGTAATGTGTAACATATTCTGGCCGTCGCTACATAGGAAACAAAAAACTTGAATGCATAACCGTAACTGTCTGGGGACCATAGGTGTTATTAGACGGTTGCAATGTTACGCACACTGACGCGTTTGAAGCATTCAGTCTTCTCTTTTATATCCATAAGTAAAGTGAAATTGGTAATGGGACCAACGCAATCTGAACATCCTACACTTTCGAGGTGTAAAACACATGCCGAAAGGGCAAATTATCTAGGGGGACAGTGCAACTGACTTGGATCTTTAAATGCCACGTTTATAAGCTCAACTAGCACTCAGTTTCGCAAACTGATTTTCATTGGGTTGCCTTGCTGGAGTAATCTCTGCAGCAGTAAACGTTAAGGAAAAACTAGTCGATAGTTATTTAAGTGACTTCATGGGAATTTATCTGGTTTATCAATCCCTTAGGTGTCCGAATTCTGTTGAGTGTTATGGGACATAGAGGCCTCCAGACACTCGCACTGCCAAATGGTAAAATACTAGAAGTCTTGGAGTCATGAGAAAAAGGCTTTGATCGCACGAATAATCAGCGAGATTTAAGAAAAATATCGTGAATTGTCCTTTGTAAATAGTCTGCATTTCTTAGCCATATGTGTGTACGTGTGTGTGCTAAAGTGAAACAACTTACCTGTGCTGTGTGTAACGTCACCTACGTCACGCACATTCCATTAAATCAGTGTGACTTCCTTACAATGTGTACCCTATTTTTTGGTTTCACCATTTGGCCTAGAATGCTGATCAACTTTAGGGTGACCATAATGATAAATGAAACAATGCGTCATGAAATAAACATTTGTCAATGGCTATATCAACAGCTAATGGAACAAAGACANTAATTATTCACAGAAAGCTTACCGGAAACGAGTGTCCAATTCGTCGTCATCCATTCCAACGGCCCTGGCAGCAGCGAGAAAAGCGCAGGCCACATCATACTCTATTGCTTGCAAATCTGTTTCGTCTTTAGTTTGCGTTGTTACTGATTGATCCAACAAACTAGTACCAACAGACCATGTAGGAGTAAGGATACTCTTTTCCATCCGAGTCGAGTTACCGAACGCATGAACGGTACTCAATTGGNNNNAATTGGTCCAAAAACGACAAGAACAATTCTCCACGACCCAGAAGCGCAATATCTTTGACCAACCGCAAATAATCAAGTAGATTATGCTTTTCCACAAGATCGCACCACACTTGACGCGAGACAAAAGAGCGGACCTCAGAAACTGCTTGTTGAAGCGGGTTTGTATCAATTAAATTTTTCACGCCCTCTGACTCGTTCGTATTGTCATCTGCGTTCAAACTGATGCGAAGTGCGTCAGACATTTGTCTGAAACGGTCTGCAAATGTGTTCTCTAAATCAGTCACTAATACGGTGTGCGCCTGCGGCCCGATGGAACGTCGGGTAGCGTGATAAACCGCCTCACCAGCGAACAGAACCTGTTGTGCAAATGTCGTAGGTAAGAATGAGGGGATTCGGTTGACCGATAACGAAAATGATACATCTTTATAATCAGAATCTGCTGCTCCGTGCGTAAAAACAGTCTCGTCAACATTTGAGCGGCACCCGTCAGACGTCAAAGTTTCCGTAGTGTCACCGGTTCGCTCTACAAAAAATTCATTTTGTGGATCATGAAGAACCCCGTACAACAACCAAGAGGAAATCTGACGGTGAAATACGAGCATCCCTCGAGCCAACAGCTTTCGCACAACACTTCTAGGTCCCGGGAGGCCCGGAGGCGCAGAGTTGAGCAACACGTCCAAAAGGCGACAACCAAGAGGATTATTTTGGAGGTGCGCAGCCTGATAGACTCGATCGATTTTCTTGGCTAACTCGGCCAAAACCGGCAGTAGAATTTTGTACTTGTGTAACCGATATGAAGCGTGACTCACATCTAAGCTAGAATCGGCCAGATACTCAGATTCCAAAGTGCAGAGAACTTGTCGATATGGTTTCAGTGCATCGTCGAAGCCAAATCCAATGGCTGCCATGTACAAACTATTTGATGGACCAGCGTAGCGCCGAATAAACTTTTCCAGCACATTGTAACAGCTACCCAATTTCAAAAGATCCGCACACAGTGCCAACTCCCCATGTGCAACGGATGGTAAATAAACGGAGGCGGGTTTTAAAACTGATTCCAAATCTCCTTCATGCTCTTCCGTAGATTCCACAAAAACTGCACCAGGAAAGCCATACAGAGCGAACAGCAGTTCTTGCAACATTATCCGTGAAGCTGTGGGAAAGACGCGTGACGAAGTGACTTTACCATATTTGGAAACAATTATCAACGTTTCGATCGATTATTGGACCATTCCATTTACTGACAAAAATATGAATCTCTCCCATCGCCTAAAGCTGCTGATATTTCCCAGACACGTGATCTATGCACTGTTGTTCATGCCTGGCTTTCACTGCTTGGTGTTTCACTTCATACCACGTGGTATGAAGTGAAACGTACGTTTATACACTCAAATATTGCGATTAGACGATGTTCAGTTCAGTTTGTACAACCATTAACCACGATGCAGCTGAAGGTTAAGAGTTTCAGAATGAGGCCTCACGATTACAGCCCCAGCAAGGACAAAAATAGCAAGTATTTCTGATGAATACGTACAAGGACCAAACAGCTGTCCCATGCCATGGTGGGTCCCCATCCTACATTCCTTGAAAATCCACAATACAGAACATTGACTACATTGTGATGAAACGTAAGGAAAACCTCCTGCACTGACTGCGGCCAAGCATCAAGGGCAAACAGACACCGTTGTGCAAAGTATCAAATGAAAGCATACCAGATCAAGCATCACAGATGAAGTGTCGGCGCGCATACAAAAGCTCGGTTGGCATTTGCCAACTTGAGACATTTATGGTGTAGGGACATGCCACTTTCACCTTTTACCTACAACTTCTTTTCTATTCGCAACGAGTTTTCGCTGTAGTGGCTTGAGACCAACAGTGTAACATGGTCGAGAGTGTCACCATCTCTGGTCTGCCTGTTCCGCATGTATGCTTTCACATGATTGCAAGCATTGGTTGCTTGGAGCATTCGCTCGTGCATCCTTCTCCTTTGCAGCATAGAATCCTCCAGGATCTTTGATATCCTGAGACCACTTCTTCAGCTAGGTCTTTTATCTTTGTTTAAGTCTCTACCACCTCCGGTGAAGTACTCCTCACTTTAAACGGTGCGTGNTCTCGAGCATAATCAGGCTAAACTCCGGTGCTTCCAGGGAACAATATATTTTCTTTCGACTAACCAGCGGTTCTTCCTGATTCATACTGGGCGATCGAGAAACATGGTATATATAGAGTGTAGTGACTCCATTTCGTCACTCGTGTTTTACGTCACGCTTCTTTTTGTTTTACTGA